AAAAAGTTTCTCCTGGAAAAAATGGGCCCTGGGGAGTGCACTAAGTAGCCAGGTAAGATAGTTGACAGTGGCAGGGAGTTCTGTCTTTAAGTGTACAGGTGGCAGGGGGTGTGGCCGCTTTAGGGCCCCACTGGACTAATGTTGTTGGCTCTCACAAGACAGACATTGCTGGAAATCTCGTAATTACTTTAGGAATTAAGTTGCTGGTAAAAAGTGTCAGCCAGATCTGAAGGCTGGAGTCCACTGTGCCTCAACTGTGCCTCAACTTGGAGAAAACTACTTCTGGAGATGTGGGGGAAGGTAGTTCAGCCTCCATGCCCATTCAGCCCTTGGCCTTTAGGGGGTGCTAATGGTAATGGATGTGTTTGTGAGGTGGGCACATGGCCCCTGGGAATTGGACTGAAACCACCAAGGCACTTCCCATAAGCCACCAATCAGCCATCAGGCATTAACACCTGTTATCACTGCCACCCTGGGTCAGATCTGAACCAAAGAACTAGTTGCGGAAGGAGTTTCTCTATCAGGATTTAGCCCTGACAGGCCTTAGCATTGCTCAGCACTAGGTCAAAGTTTTAAACAAACAATCTTCTAATTGTACATGGGAGTGCTGCGATTGAGTTCTCGTTTTGCACTGACGTGTTTAAGGCACTGAGAATTTCAGGAAGGGTTTGCTCTGCTTTGAAGGAGGATCAGACCCCCTCTGTGGGATCTTGCTGCTGGGAATGTTTAGATTGTTTTTTATTTTGTCCTTTGCAGCTGAGAAAACAATTTAAAAACTGGACAAATAGTCTCAGTCCCTGCATGTGGCCTGTTCCTGAGAGTGGAAGGAGGACAGGTCACAGGGGAAAGTGTAGCAGGTTCATGGTAGCATTCCATAATAAATATTGTCAAACTGGAACACTAATCCCTTGAAGCTCTTATCTATATTAGCTGGCTTGCCTTCAAGTTGGCTGTGTATCTGGGACTGGGTGCCAGGAATCCTGAGTTCTACTCCCCACTCATTCCATCGTGACAAGTCACTTAACCTCTTCAGCCTCAGTTTCCCCCATTGTAAAAATGGAGAAAATATTTACTTCACAGGGAAGCTGTATGGCTTAATATTTGTAAAATGCTTTGAGATTTTTTAGCAGCAGGTGGTATAGAAGGGGGAAGTATTCTGTTTTCGTCTGACACGCTCCTCTTTTGTGTTGCATTTTTGCTAATATAGTGAAAGAACTTAGGGGCTGGCACATTTGTGAAAAGAATCAATATTAAGCAAATATTGCAGAATATTAATGGGACATTAATTATTAGATTACCAAAGTAAGTTCTCTCTGCCATGAATTTTAAAATTCAACGTTACACTCAGCCAACAGAGGAACAGAAACAACACCTTGTGATCTATATGGCCAGTGAAATCTAATCAATGCAGCTAGAATTAAAATATTGAATACTTGCAATGACCTATTTGACAGATTGGGCTTAATCAAAAATTTTATATTTGATGAAGAATAGAAATTCTGGTAAGAGGCAACTATACAAAAATGCTGTTTTAAGGACAAACTTAGTTTACTTCGGTCTCTCGCCAAGGGGGGTGGGTGGGTGAGTGGAGCCTACTCCATTCTGGGTTCTTCATTAAAAGGTCATAGACTAAGGTGTCTTCTTGCAGAAGATGTGATGTACCAGGCTGTGGTATGATGGACCAGGAAATGCTTAGGGACCAAGGTCAAGGGGATAAAGGTGACCCAGCCCAAGGATAATTTCCCATAATTACTTGGCAAGTAATTTTTAATTAAAGAAATTTGAGAAAATTCCAATCTGAGCAGGGACAATTCACAAACAGAAAGAAGTGAAAATTCCTTAAATAAAGGATTCATTAAGAATTATTCACTTTGCTCTCATATTGAACCTCGGGATCACATTGGCTTTATTACCAGCATCTGGCACTGCAAATTCATGTC